TATTTAAAAATAATAACATAAAATAGTATGAGCGGGTCAAATACGAATAAATTGTAATTTTAATTATAAATTTAAGCTTATTTGCCTACAAGTCCGGTCTCCACTAACATTTAAATTGCGAAAATCAAATTTAATAAACAGATTAATTATCTTGTTTCTATACTAACTATTGCGTACAATTTTTTAATTTAAACTTTATGTTCTCTAAATACATGGGCGATTAAAAAGATAATCATTAAGCAATTAGTTTTATACTAAAAGTAAATATAATTTTTAATATAGCAAGTTCATGGTATACTTTTAATTAATTTATTCCAGTATTACCTACCTATCCAGATGGATAGGCAATACTGGAATATATTAATTCAAAGTACCTAGGTATATCGGTGATTACCATATTACCACTGTAAAGCTGTGGTCTGACAGACATATCTTTAAATGACATATCCCTGATATTACCAGATATGCACTCCATATAATATAATAATATCTATAATAAAATATAATTAAAATAAAATATTCATGCTTTTTATGTCGCAGAACAAACAGAAGTAAGTACAATAAATCGCCAAATCCGTTGCCGATTTCACGAATTAGGAAAAATTTTATTCCATAAATTTGGTGTATACACTATTCTAAAAATGAATGAGTCAAAAATGACTAATTGGACACCTTTCTGCAGAAAGGAACGAACCCACAAAACTAAAAAAATTGAGATCTTTAGCCTTTAAGTATGTAAAATGTATCTGCAAAATAAGAATAAGAAGTATTGGGTTTTCGCAACGCCTGCGCCATCTGGTGGACAAAAGCATTGCGTGAATTTAAGAATTGTCAACAATACATTTACCTAAAGCATACGAACTAGGGGTGTCAATCCCAGGATCCCGAAATCCCGGGGTCCCGGGATCCCGTAAAAAATCCGATCCCGAAAATCCCGGGATTAAAAGTCCCAATCCCGAGATCTTAGTAATAAGTTACAAAGAATAAAATAGACTTTTTTTTAAGCGTATGACATTTTTCATAATACTCATAAGCATATATATATATACAGCTCTTTCATACTAAAACCGAATATATCTATATATATGGGGCGTGGCCTCGCCTCCCTCCAACGCGCGACACAGTAGCTAAGCAAATAGACTGCATCGCTAATGAGATTTTTTGCATTATTATCATTTAATTTTTTAAGTCCTTACCTGCTCGACCTTTCGTCATGTCGTTTATTACACAAGCAACTGTGACGCGCCTTGGAGGGAGGCGAGGCCACGCCCCATATATATATAGATATATTCGGTTTTATTCTAAACAGGCTGTATAAACACTTCATTTTTTTACTCAGTTCAAGTCAAATTATTATACACCGCCGTACAATAATGAAAATACATTGAAATTACATAGCAAGAGTGGTTCCATCTATAGCATAAAATCAGCAAAGAAAATGTAAAATTACAGGTCACTGTAGAATAAATTTATGTACATAACCTATAATATAACATTTCAAACGTCAGACCTAAAAAAATGGCACAAACTTCAATGAAAGTTACAGCCCCAATTGGAACTCACCAAGGCCCGATTGATAAAAGAAATGGAATTATTTGTTAATGGGGGTAAACGTGGGTACAATGTGCCTACGAATTCTTGAAAACCATTCTTCCTAGTGTGGAGTCCGAAAGATATCGTTCGTTAGTTTGTTTGTTGTTTTATTTTAAATTGGTTTTAAAATTAATGATTTATATTTTTTCGGGACTGATCCCGGGATCCCGGGATTAGTTACATTTGGTCCCGAAAGGCCCGGGATTGGAAAATGGACTCGGGATTGACACCCCTAATACGAACATTTAAATAGGTAGTTTTTTCACAAAAGAGAGGAAGGCAGAAGTCTTACTCGACAAATTTTGTTCAATTGTGCAGCTAAATCGCGTTATTTGTGTTTTACGTTGCAAGTGTGTGTATTTTATTTAAGGGATCATGGTGAATTATTGTGTTTTTAATTGTAAATAAAATTCAAGAACTAAATCGTTGCAATTTCAAGTTTTGCCAAAAGATCCAATTCGGTAAGTATATTTGTTGGTGCAGAATTAACTAATGATAACTTTACCTAATATAATTTATATTTAGGTTTGGACATTTTTAAGAAATTAGTAAAAAAAATTTTTGCGTAAACATAACCTTAAATTCAACCATTTTTATATTGGGACTGTCTACAGTTCAGGAACTACCAGTAGGAACCAGTAGGAACCAGTAGGAACTTAAGTCTTCAAGACGGAACTGCAGCCACTGAGTCAAAAGTTACTACCAGTAGGAACTTAAGTCTTCAAGACTAAAGTTCCTACTGGTCGGAACTGCAGCCACCAGTCAAAAATTCTGTTATGGACGCCAAAGTTACTACCACCCAGGGCCGGATTAACCACAGGGCCATTGGGGCCATGGCCCCGGGGCGAAATCCCAAAGGGGGGCGCACGCCACGCCGACCGTTCCCTTTTGGGCGGCGCGCCAACTCTATACAAGTTGGCGCGCCGCCCAAAAAATACATATCACAAATTATAATAGTAGAAGAGAAGCAACCAATAATTACTAAAATAAAATGTAACTTAAAATTAATGGTAAAACATAAAAAATATATCCTTTTTAACTATTTATAAATAAAATATTAAAGTATCTTGCGATTTAGGTAGGAAATCTAGAAATATATCTCTAGTTTTCTAAATATATTTATAAATATATATGTATATATGCAGGGTGTCTCACCAGCGATGGTACCTTAGACGTTTACGGAGAACGGCTGAGGATATCAATTTGAAATTTTTATAGCAATTATTGTACAATTTAATCTACCTTTTAAAATTATTTTAAATAAAATTCCTCTTCCGGTTTAACCGGACGCGACATCAACTTTGTTATTTCCAATGGAACACCCTGTAAATTTTTTTATTTTTAAATTCCTCATGAAATTCTTAATGAAATTGCTGTACCATTCCCTATACCTAAACTTAATAGTTTTCGAGTTAATAATTTTTTTCGTAAAATTTTGACAGTTGCACCTTCATTAAAAATAGCTTATAACTTTTTAATATTCGGTTTGCTGGTATGCTGTAAGGATTTTTGGAATCTTAAAACATTGTTAAAATCGTGTTAAATTTAGTTAACTTCAAACATTAATAACTTGTTTATTTTCAATGGAACGGTATGCATGTTTTTACATAATCAAATAGGAAAATGAATTACATTTTGATTGTTATAACCATTCCCTATACTTAAATAGTAAGGTTTCGGAAATACAAGCAAATTTAAATTTTAAACTACGTGCTATTAATGAAGCTTTCAACTTAAGCGCCATGAATTGTTGACAGCGGTTTAGTTTTAACCTTCCGATTACAAAATATGCACCAAATAAATTTGGATCAATGTTTCTAAATACTCAAAACTTACTTTGAATGTGACTGTGATCGCAGAGACGGCAAGAAAATTGCGTTTGGAAGAAATGAGGCGCCGTCAAACCAAAGTATTACAAATTTGATCAAAAAATTGCGCAGACATGGATGCTGGTGGACATAAAACATGTTTCGCATGCTCGTCCTAGACGTACACCTGAAGCAATCGCTGCTGTGGCCGAAAATGTACGCATGAACGCGTCAACATCAACTCGGCGCAGATGTCAACAACTCAGCTTTTCCCGTACCACTCTGCAGATCTGAGGATGATTCTGCACAAAGACCTCGGTATGTTTGCGTACAAAGTCCAGCTTGTTCAGGAGTTAAAGCAAGTTGACCATCCACAACGTTTTCGCTTTGCTGAGTGGGCTTTAAACCAGTTGAACGATGACCCTAATTTTGCAAGAAAAATCATCTTTTCGGATAAGGCGCATTTTTACCTCGGAGGTTGTGTCAAAAAGCAAAACTGTAGGATTTGGGCCACGGAAAATCCACACGTCGCCGTAACAAAGCCTATTCATCATTTAAAACAAAACATTCAAGCTCAAATTGCCTAAATAGAGCAGCAAACTTTTTACAAAGTGCTCAAAAATTGGTGTTCCAGGATGGGCTACTGCCGAGCCAGCTGAGGTGGCCACTTAAATAAAATCATTTTCCATACTTAATCGGAAGAAACATTGTATCAAATAAAGCAAAATTCGTTGAAAAAAAATCAGTTTTTCTTGTTCTCATTGCTATTTTATAATTCAACATATAATATATAATATATAATGGTATTTTACCATTGAGTGGAGACTTTAAAGAATTCTTAATAAACGCTTTTAATAATGCTAAATGCTGTTTGACGATTTTTAATGAATTGAAATGTTTACACTGTTCACCTTTATCATTAAAAAAATGTGTATTTATTGTATCTACACAGAGAAAAATGATTTTTTCAATGAAACAATCCGATTTGTTTGAACCATATTTATTAAACTCAAAAAACAAATGCTACAATAAAAGAAATATACTTTAGTTATTAATAAATTAGTTTGTTTGAAATTTTCTTTCAATTTGTTTAATTCAATTTCTTTAAAATTAGGTTATATTTTCTTAAATTAAAGAAATGTATAAATGTATAATGTCCAATAAGTAAAGGTATCAAAGCAACAAAATATTTATTTTATTCTAATAAATAAAATACTCGTCAAACTAAGTAATTTGAATTTTTAAATTCAAACAAATATTTCTTTATCCGCGAATCGCGTGATACAAAATTGACCAATGAGAGATCTACTAAGACCAAGGTGATTTCCGGCATTTCAATAGTGGCCGTTGTTGCGAAAACATTTTTGCTAATATTAGGTACAATGTACGCATGTGTATGTAAAAATATTCTTCGCGCCTCACCATGTTGTATTTCCCGTTTGCATGCCATAAAGTGCACGTGTACAAGCAAAAAAACCTTGATTCGTGTGTAGGTATGCATATTGGCGGGTATTTTTTTATTACTTGGTGCTTTTTTGTTAGTTTTTAGTGTATGTATTCTACATAAGGTGTTTAAATATTTAATGTTTTTATTTCCAGATGAAAATATTACTTTGGACATTCTTCCCGGGCTTACAGACCAGTACATAAGGGAACTAGCCCCGTCTAGACAGCTGTCGGTGATCAAATTCGACTAAAGAATCCTATTTCAAGTATCACAAGAGATATTGATAAAATAATTGAAGGATCAGTTGATACAACAAAGGTCGGTAATTAAGGTTATTTTTTATTAATAGTATATTATTATACGAGAGATATGTATGTATACCTGGCAGATGAAGGAAGGTATATGTATAGGTATATACCTACCTAGTCTTAAATGTTATTTTAAGTTTTTATTAATGAAATTGGCCGGGATTTCCGTTGCTAATTTAATACAGAACTGAAAGATATTTTTATTTATAAAAAATATAATTTTTTTGTTATGCATGTGATTAAATATGTATACATATATATTTTGTTTAATAAACATTTTGTATTTTAAATTGCTTTTTTAAATGGGAATTTTTAACGTTTTTTAACGTTGACTTCCCTGCACCTTTATCCTCCTTGTGGTAAGTATACTTAGGTATACCTACTTATACATATTTTTAGATTAAACAAATATTTTAATATTTGCTTTTTTTATTTACTATTTAAATAATTAATTCATTTGATTTACCAACTAAATATTTTTTTAAATCAACTAAATATTTATTTGATTTACCAACTATATTATTTTTTAAATCAATGAAATATTTATTTGATTTATCGGTTAAAAGACATTACGTATCAAACAAATATGTAAGGTATTTAAAAAAATGTTTAATTCAGATATCAGATATTCAGACATATCATTTATTACAATTAAAAAAACATTTGTTTCCCCGTATGCAAACAACAAATTTGTTTAGACCAAACAAAATTTCTTTGCATCAAAAAATCTTTTTTCTCTGTGTAATAGACACAATTTATATTTACAGGGACTTTATGAAATTTATTTCTTCATTTGGATTAACACTTTATTGGAAAACCGATAAAAACTCAACCCAGGATTTCCTCTCGAAATACACCCAACAGCACAACAAATCGTACCACGGTTTTTTTATATTTTTTTAACATTTTCCGGCTTTATTCTCAAAAACACTCGTTTGTAACACTCGCGTTTGATAGCTGATTATCAAGTTGTACTTTTGTTACGATGATAACAGCCGAGTGGTGGCGCTACTAGCGATACTTCTTTAGCGTATAGCCACAATGCAAGTGAAGTGAAATCTATTAATAATTGAACCAACCAACATTCAATAATATTGTGTATAAAAATCTGTAGAATAAATCCAAGTAGATTGGAGCAAGCATAATGTGTTGTTTTGTTTTTCTTATGTGCGTTAAGTTGGTTCTTTTTGCGATTTTAATCCCGGACTGTGTCATATTTAGTTCGTTATGGATAGATTTTAGAGATGGTAAAAGCCGGCATGCAGTAGCAAGGTAAATACTTTTAAGGATATGTATTGCTAGATTGATAGAAACCTTCCTAATTTTATTAAAAATGTCTCATAAATAAACCCTTTGATGTGGTAACTTATTTTTTTCATTGTAACTAATTTACTCTTTAGTGAGATTTTATGCTAGGTACAAAAATATAATTCAGGACTAAATGCTAAATATATTTATTTTCAATTAGGTAATAAAAACTTTTAAAACGTCAAAAGAACTTCTGTTACACTTTTGTGGTTTTAATGTAAAATTTTATTTTTAGGAAGTTAGTGATCATGAAAATGATTATGATTCCGATAGAGATTCGAATCTCTATCGGAATCATAATCATTTCATCGGATATAGATTCGGAATTCATATAATCACCTGAACCAAGTCAACCATCTGCATCAGAGGTCGAATCAGAACATGAGTCAGAAGAACGGGAAAATAATGAAGGCAATAATACTTCAAAAGGAAGATTAAAAAAGGAAGACAAAGAAAATACCTAAATATGAGCAGAGCGGACAATACAATTGCAAGAAATAGTGGTGAATGATATTTTGATCATAAAGGGAAAACCAGAAATAAAAAACCTTTCAATGAATCTTTTCGATGTAAATGTGTAAGAAAGTGCAATAATAACTCAGGATGAGAGACTCGAACAGTTTATTAAATATTGGAACTATAGGTAGCTATGATTCTCAAACATCTTTCATATGGAGCTAAAAAAGAAATTATGGTCAAGGAATAAGATCAAGACAATTTTTAAGACATTACTATCTAAAAAATAAGATTTATCATTAGGCATCTCAGCCAAAAGAGTCAAACTGCCTTGAATAAATTAAGAACGAGCAGCATTACGGATAAACGAGGAAAAAAAACAAGGTGAATTCACAGTGAATAAACCGTGAACTAAAAGGCCGCAAGGGTAGGTATATCCTATAGGTTTAACACGACTATAGCTAGCCATTATTCGTTACTGAGCAGATGAGGATTAATGTTCAGCTATGCCATTACAGACGCACACTTCCAACTAAATATTGCGACCCAACGCTATTTATAGTTAGCTCGCTTGCGTAAGCAGCCGTGGGATGTATTGAGTTCACCGTGAATTTACCGTGAAATCACGGTGAATTAACCGTGAAATTACCGTGAATTTATCGCAAAAACAGCGTGAGTTCACCGTTTAGTTACCGTCTACAACTGTCACAAATGGACGGTAAATTCACTGCACATAAACGGTGTATTCACGGTAAATTCACGCAAACGGTGAATTCACAGTGAATTCACCGTAAACTCAAGGCCGCAAGGGAATATATTTATAATATTCCAAAAATACTATTATCTAAGACAACACCCTATTGCTGTCGATATCCGTGTATGTGTATTGTACTATCCATATATATTCCTTCTTCAAAACTAAACACAAAACCTAAAAGTGATCGATTTATTGTTTTTATTTAGGGCTGGGATTTTAATAAAAGCGATTACTGTTTACAATGTTTATTATTTAAAAAATAAATTCAAATTATTCAAACTATTCAAAAAATACATAATTAAAAAAAAATTAAAAAAACAAAAAAGTAATCATAAATCAGAATTAGATTTTATTGATATGTGGTCTTCTGTACCCTTAAATAGAACATGTTTTTTTCTTGGGGTAGAAAATGCAGGAGATTCACCAGACTCTATTGACTCCTTTTGGATAGTCTTATATGTTTTTAAGGAGATATTTGTTTCCGCCATAGCCCTTTATCAGTAATGGTCAAAGAAGTCGGCGGCTCCCCCTTGGTTTTTAAACTCTCCGCTTTATTTTTCATAAATTCATACATTCATGGTGGATTAATTCACTTGCCTGACTGTGGAGAATTTAGCCTTTGTTAGTTGAAGGTTGCGATTCATCCATAGTTTATTTTAAAATTAAGGTGGATTTATGCAGACTTAAGGCTTAATATTTAAGATATAAAACGTGATAACAAATATAAAAAAGTTATTTCATAGCCCCTTAGGTATAATTTAGTTCATTATTTAAATTTTGAGAAACCAAAACTTTTCTTTTATTAAATCATCAAGTTTTCAAAAGGGTCGTAAAAATATTTCGCAAAGTATGAATAAGATTATATCGGTATAAAGGTATTAAAACAGGTTTAAATGACAAATAATAAAGATTCTAATTTTTTGCGAGAATCTGATTAAGGCCAGACCTAGAAACCATACCAGGGAGTACAAATCTATAATAAAATCTATTTTTGTTAAAATGGACACCCATTTAACTCCCATAATGGATTAGTCCGACCGATTTTGGTTACTACGCAGCCCGCTAACATGGGTCCTTCTACTTTGCCGTTTACTCTAGTGAATTTTTTTTTTTATAAATTTAACTATTGTTTTAAAAGTTAATAAAGGGTGATTTTTTAAGTGTGTCCGAACTTCTGACAAGTGCCGCTATCAAACAAACTGTCAATTTTCATGCATCTAGAAACTAAGTTACTCAGTATAGTCTGACAAATCATCATTGAACGTTTAACGCTTGCAAATTGTCGAAATTTACCATCAAAACCATTGTTTTGTGCGCCAAACTTATCGTGCTCTTCGTGAATTTTATGGTATACATACGCCCAATCGAGCGATGTATTCGCCGAATCATCAAGAAATTTCGAAAGAATTTCACGCTGTTAGATATTCAAATAAAGACAAGAACCAAAAAAAGAGCGTTTCCAAGAAAATATCATCTTGCAAGAACGCGGTAACCGCGTTGCCGGCAGTTAAAGGGTTAAAATAAAGACAAGAACCAAAAAAAGAGCGTTTCCAAGAAAATATCATCGCTGTTGCCAACAGTGATGAGAAAGACCCAAATTCGTCGACGTTCGCAGAAAGTTGGGCTTTGTTATTGGACTACGTGGGAAATTTTGCGGAAATATCTTTATTTTCTTTGTGGTAATGTTAAATCTTTGGTAAATGTAAATAAACCAGCAACTATTCAAGACTTGGAAGCTAACATAACTCGGACAATTGCGTAAATAAGACCTAAATTGCTTGATAAAATGGTCGGAAATTGGATTAATAGAATTCGCTTTGTTACAAGTAGCCGCGGAGGACATTTGTCCGAAATTATTTTTAAATAATAATGTCATTGAATTTTATTTCATATAAAATAAATATTTTTAAGATATTTAATTTGGTTGTTATTTAATTTGAATTTAAAGTTCGGACACTCACCCTTTATAAACGACTATTTCACTAGACTATTTTTAAGTAATAAAATGTCATAGTAACGGCACGTTTTCTACTGACTATTTCCCTCGTCTTAATTTCCACGAATCACAAACGCGCAATTTTGAATTACAAATGGTTTCTAGGTGAAAAAACTGTGTGACAGCACCTGTCAGCAGTTTATTCGAGTTTTCCCGCGGAAAAACTTGACATCTGTTGTCACCAAAAATTGCAATTTATATTTTAATTGTTAACTGTTACTCATGAAATAGTCTTGTCAAATACCATTCGGGCATCTAATTTTTCCTGTGAAAAAAATCGAAAAAACACAATGCTAAGTAATATTTTTTAACAAAAAGCATTCGTGCAGGTGCAAAAATCCTCCTCTTCGACTCGGATTTTTGTTGCCACCAGCACTCATGCTTTTTGTTAAAATATCACTTAGCAACGTGTTTTTTCGATTCTT